AAATAATGTTCTTTTTAGCAGCATCATATGACCCCTTTAAATTTTCAGTTTTTAGTTAACTATCCTTTTATAGGAATAGTTCACCCAAAAAAATGAACATTTGCTGAAAATGTATACACTCTAAGGCCATCCAAGATGTAGATGAGTTTTATCATCAGAACAGATTTGGAGAAATTTAGAATTACATCACTTGCTCAAGTCAAGTCAAGTCGAGTCAAGTCTGCTTTATTGTCAATTCTTCCACATGTACAGCACATACACACAGAGAATTGAAATTGCGTTACTCTTAGTTAACATCCTGCAAAGTGAAAAGTTGCATGTTTGTTTAATTATTGTGGATTATTGTGATCTTTTGGTTAGCTGTGTGAGCTCATTTTGATGGCACCCATTAACTGCAGAGGATCCATTTGTGAACAAGTCATGTAATGCAAAAATTCTCCAAATCTGTTTCAGTAAAGAAACAAACTCATCTACATCTTGGATAGCCTGAGGGTGGTTTTCATTTTTGGGTGAACTATTCCTTATAGTAAGGTGACAGTACTGCATATATTTCTAGAATGTATGTGTAGGATAACCTTTTTTTGCTGACAGATGTTTGTTGCAGTGAACCCATGCCAGATATGATAGTTGGGCATCTTAATGACCCGCCAGTGCCTTCAGCAGGTTGAAATATTTCATTTTTATCCTTTATCAAATTATTAAATAAAGTTTCATCAGGGAAAATAAAAGTGCGTTTCTCTTCTAGGGATTTTCCTGAGAGAGGCGTCAAGCTCTTCACGTGTGCAGGAGGAGAGACAGATAGCTCGACATGTGCTCCTCTGCCTGCTCCTCGTTGTCAGCATGCTGGCTGTATGTCCACTCCACATACTGTATGAGAAAGACATTACACTCCCAAAAAACACATACATACACACGCCACATTTATTTGGGACTGTTTATTTCTATAATTCAGAACCTGTCCAGTTGTCTGTGGTGGTTGTTCAATGCTGATCCAGGACGACTTTACCTCGAACTGCAGTTCTTTTGTGCTGTAGCCAATTATGGACAGGTGATCACAGCCACACATTTCTCACTGCAAACTTATACAGATGGAGCTAGATGCATATGAAGAGCTGCTGTTAATATTTAAAATATCCTATTTCTCCATCAGGGTTTTGTTTCCTTTGGAATTTTTGGGTTAGATGAGAATCTTATTATTCTTCCATTCAAAAAGAGGTGAAACAGCCATGTTATGTTGTGTTATTATTCTATACTCTTATGTGCCAATTTTTGGATGTAGCCTCAGCAACAGTGTTCTGTGTTTGTAGGCTGGCTGCTCTGTGTGGTTTTGGTGAGGATGAAAGCCCTGAGTCTGCTGTTGTTCCTGAGGAAATACGACTGACCTGTACACAGTTTGTGAGATACCACAAAGATCAGTGCGTTCAGGATATTGTTCGCAATAGAGGGTGAGTGTCAGTATTAATTTAGTATCAGTGTTGTTTTATATTTTATATATGTCTGTATAGTTTTTATAGATTTTTATTTCAGGTTTAGTTTGAGTTATTTTAGTACTTCAAGTTAAGCTAAAAGAAAATGAATGAGAAATGATTTCTTTAGAATTATTATATATTAAATATGATTTTTTTTAAATATTTTCTTTTATTTCATATACTTTTCTCAATGACAAACATGATTTTATGGTTGTATTTTTCCTTTTAGTTTTAGTTAATGATGATATCCCTGGTGAATCTGTGTTTGAGATGTTTAATGTTCATATATTTTATAATTGGTTAAACTGGAATCATTTTAATTAATAATTTGAAGCAGTATTGTTGCACTGCGCTATAGATGTTTTCTATTGCATTTTCATTTTTGCACTTTCTTTGCATTTTTCCACATGCCACATTCTCCAGTTGGGGATCACAAACACACATATTATTATCAGTTTATTTATGGGCCATTTTTCTTCATAGGACAGTGTGGACGATAAATTATGGGGAAAGAGATGGAAGACCACCAGGAATTTGTTATTAAATTAATATAACATAATACAGACCAGTCATATATTTTAGCAATTTGTAGATTTATATTTACACATTTTCTGTGAGGATGCTCTAGCAAACTAAATAGTGCCAGTCACAGGTTTACACTGTTTGGGGAATCAACAATAAAGGTGAATCTACATTAAAAGGTGAAGTGTGAAAAAAAAATCACACACTTCATCTTTAAATCTCCCTTCTGACATTTCCTGTCCATTTTCTCTTTTATCTGTTTCTCTCACTTTCTTCCTAGCGGGTCTTCTGAATCTCTCACCGGACCAGTTGGTGAATCCTTTCTTTGATTGACAGGTGTACTCACTGGGGTATGAGTATGGTGTAGTATACTGGCAGTGAGTTCATTGGCTCCTGTGTGTGGGCGTGGCTAAGACAGAAAGGCGCGGCCTTGCCTTCAGGACACAGCTGCAGAAGAGTGGTGTCTTACTCCATGTGACCCATATATATGGCTTCCAATTCCCTGTGATATTGCTTCAAATGTACCTCCACTTTATAATGTGACACAAGCCCACGAAAGAACTAAATAGACTGAATTATGACTGAGCTATGAAACAAGTTGTTCTCTCATCAGTATTTGTTGTACTTCTTGAATTACTATGCATGGCATGCAAAGAGCACAGAACTCTCCCTTTATCTCATTCAATAGCCCTCAAATTACACACACACTTGCTCTGTTCCAAATCCTAGTGAGCTGCCTATGGAGGCAGCATTTTTTAAGGCATCATAGGCATGCTTCGGCAAAAGGCTGTTATGAAAGGTGAGCAACATGGTTATGCTGCTGTAATTTTAACCGTATTTTAAGGCAGCTTAGCATGTAGACTTTGTGGAAACGCAAGCCCAGAATACACTGAGACAATCTAAAGTGAGAAATAAGTTCAAGAGGCAAATTAAAAATGTGTTATTTTGTCCTGTATTTATGTGTGCTATGTATTTATGGGTATTATTCTTATATATGCTCATCTTGCAAGTTGAGTCTCCTATGCAGTACCCTATTTGTATGGTGCACAGGGTTGTGTTTCTAAATAGTCGACAAGGATGCTGCTTTAGAAGGTTTTGGAACAGAACATGAATGTGAACTAATTATTATAATTACATTAATTATGATGAAATGGTCGCTGAAACACTGAAATATGCTGTCTACACAAGTTCTGTAAAAACACTTCTGACTGGGATTTGAATTGTATGCTTTGTGTTACTTGTCAGCCTTGTCTTAATGACAAGACTATACGGCCTTGTAGCAAAGCCATGCAAGACATGTTTACAAACCTAAAATTATCCTACAGTTACGTTCTTAGAGCTAACTAAGCATAAATTCAGGACAATCTGGAATTTACAATGGGGTCACTCCATTTTCAATCTACAGCATTATTTTATGTACCTTAATGTTGACTAAAGTGAAAATTCTCTTATTAAGCATCTTTTAAGTATGTAAATTTGTTTTGCTGGTGTTAATCTATATAGGTGATGGCATTTATGTATATCATAAATTTAAATCTAGATAGGTGAAATGACATTTAGAAAGCAGGAGGGCAGTCACTGGTGAAAAGTTATTGTTTATTTCTTTGTTGATGTCATAAACTGTTTAATTTTATGTAAAAAAAAAAAATTCTGTAATACTGTTCATACATTAAAGTCAAAAACCGTGTCAAAAGCTGTACCAATTAAATGGCAAATGCAGAGCAGGTTTTATGTGTTTAAAGGGCAATGTTTTAAAAGGCAATTTGATAGTGATTGATTTATTTATATAAGAATTTAGCCCACTAACTGACAATCTCTCAAACAAGTTCTGTAACAGAAACTCAACACTATTACATTTGGGATGATCTTCAGTGTATATTATGGCTAGTCAAAATAACACTAGATATCTTCAGTGTATATTTTGACTAGTCATAATTACTCAATATTGTGGAATAGATATCTGGAATTCGTATTTTTCTCTAGTCAAAACGAAATTACGACTAGCAGAGTCAGGTGTATTAAATGTTAAAATGGGTTGCCATATCCCTGTGGGCTTCAAATAGTAAATGGAGGGCCATAGTGTCACTCCTCTTGAGATGCTACTTATTACTTAGGTTGGCCGGATGTATTATTCAAATTAATTAACATTCAAAGTGATAAACATAAACTAGTAAAACAGGAGGCATAACCTCTCAAGAACTCAAGCATAATAGAAATGGTTAATATTTCCAGATCATATATTTCCCTGCTAAAACAACACACAATTTTTGTGTAATTTTTAATATGACACACCAGTGACAGGAAACACTGAGGACGTGAGAGGATCGTCTGATGCAGCTGTGACAGAATCCTCTTGGACCAGAGCAGCTTTAGCAGGAAGCCCCTTTGTGGTGGACATGTCGGGCATCAGTGTGACCGGGTTGGTCATGTCAGGAACCTCTGGAAAGCTTTGCAACTGGAGGAGCTGCCATGACACAGAGCTTTGGAACCGTAACTGGTCCTGGGGTTGCAGAAGCAGGAACCTTGGTTAAAAGTAATTGCAAGAATGCCTCAGAGAAGTGGATTTAGTTCTAAGAAAAACATTAGCATCGTCTGTTTACATATGCCACGTGGTCTGACAACTTGCCTACTGCAATGACATATTGTAAATGTGGGTGAACAATCGTGTAACTTTACTTTTTGTCTCAAAACCTTACAGTTAGTGAGATACTTAACAACTAGTGAAACAACTAGACTCATTAGAATTCAACATTTGTTTCCAAGCATCTTCTGGAGTGTGTGAGATCATATTCTTCTTCTGTGGATTTATTGGCGGGTTGCAAACCAACTGGAAAGGTGCATACCGCCACCTACTGTACTGGAGTGTGATAAAGATGAACACAAGGAAGTTTTTTATATTCTCTTCTTTAGACCGCTATTTCTCAGGAACTTCATTAAAGCTGTAATTGTTTTATCAAATTCTACTTCTGCCTTTAAAATATTATATAAAGTAAATTCCATAATACCCAAAGCTTGCATATCTCTTATAAGATCAATTCTTTCCTGTTCATATTTTTTTTTAATATCTAATCAAAACATGCTCAACAGTTTCCATTTCGTGACATGTATTACATAAACCAGAATTATGTTCGCCAATTATATGAAGTGTTGCATTAAGATTAGTATGACCCATTCTTAATCTTGTAAATGTAATGAAGTCCTTCCTATTCATATGATGCTTAATTTTACCTTGTTTTATGTTACTTTGTATAATATAAAAATGTCTTCCTTTTTTACCTGAGTTCCAGTATTGCTGCCATTTACTCCTACAAACTTGCTTAATCACAGACTTTCCTTCTGCCCTGCTTAAAGTGACTGCTATGATAATGAGTAGGGTGAAGCTGCAGGCCCGGAGACCCAACTGCACACTCAGACCTGCACGCTCAGAACAGAGAAAAATGGTGAAAAAAATAATTGGGTTAATAATATATATATATATATATATTACATATTAAATAACATCAAATAAAATAAATGCTTTACATGATAATACTCTTGTTTGGTTTCTTACTTATGCGTTTACGTGCGTTTACCCTAACGTCATTACATCGTAACTCGTTTCGACCAATCACAATGTGAGGATTCAGGGCTCTTCCGGTATACACATTCTTTCCGTTTAATCGGCCGAAGTGTGGAGCAACGTGTGTTCATTTGGGCACAGCGAAATTCCCCATCTGCTGACAAGACATAGTGTGATATCAAGGTGATATAAGAATAGGTTTTATCTTATTTATGTATGCATCGCTTAAACGTGCTATTTTTGTTTAAATGGTCTGTTTTATTGCATATTGGCCCCTTCATTTGACCGGCATGCTAACCAGCTATACACACTAATGAATTGGGAATGGGGGTATTGATGCTCTGGATGCACATGTGGGTCTCTGTTGGCTTCCTAGCGAGTAATGAAGCACCCCTACCTCTACTAACCCGGCTGTCAGTTGGCAGTGGCGCAGAGATTTATAAACAGTGACTGATATGATACACGTATGCCTTCTCTTACTTGTCAGGGAGGGGCATATATTTAGCCTCTCTTGCAGTGCATAAGGTTGGTCAGTTTACACTCAATGCGGGGGCTATTTTGGGAACCTGGTGCCATTGGTTTCACTGTCGTGAAATGGCAACTAGTTACTGCAGTTAGCCAGGCGAAGAAGTTACACGTTGCCTGGCTTCTACCGCATCTTAATTATGCAAAATATACTCCATTGGTAATATTGCAAGAGAGTACTGACAGCATTAACCATGGCTCCTAAAAAGGTGTGGTAGTTGTAGTGTATTCCTGGTTATTTTGCTTGAATAATTATGTAATGCATTAAAGTGAAAGTAGGTATTATTGTTTTTTTTTTCCACAGATGCCTCCAAAGAAGGGAGGAGATGGACCAAAACAGCCCCCCCTGATTGGACGTTTCGGGACTTCCTTGAAAATTGGAATCGTTGGGTTACCAAATGTAGGGTGTGTGTCAGTCCCAGCTGGCATTCTGGCTGTATGCATGTGCGCTGGATCAATTGGTTTGAAGTCAACAGTGAAATAGTGTCAGAATGATAAAGTGTGAATGCTTGACCTAGTTGCGTTTTATTCGTGCTTATTGGAAACCTATCCTGCTGTATTGTGTGAAATTATTATAAGGATGATGACTCATGATCATGGTGCATTATGAAAATGACATCATCCTGCTACAGGATGGGAAATAGTTTTTGAATGGCTACGAAGTCAGGCTGTGTCCGAATTTGCCGCCTTCCATGCTATATAGTATGCACGTTCACCAAAGAGTATGCATAAAATTCATAGTATTTGCAAAACGGTTGGTAAAAATGCAACCAATGCTGGTAGGTCATGTGACCGTGACAACATGATGGCAGTGATATGTCCGAATTTTATTCATACTATATGGAACATACTTTTTTTATACAGCGGTGAAGTAAGGTACAAACCAAGTATCTAGTTTGCATGTATTATGCATAACAAAGTGTCAGCGATCCATGTTCTCATCACTTATCTCAATTCATTTGTTTGTGCTTTCAGAAAGTCAACGTTCTTCAATGTTCTTACAAAGAGTGAGGCAGCGGCTGAGAATTTTCCCTTTTGCACCATTGACCCAAATGAGAGCCGTGTGCCCATTCCAGATGAGCGCTTTGACTTCCTCTCCCAGTACCATAAACCAGCCAGGTACCCACTGCATGTCTGCATAATACAGTTATCAGCAGCTTACTTTTAATTCTAGTCATCAGTGACATGATCTTAATTTCTTTTTTATATTTCACTCAAGTAAGGTTCCGGCGTTTCTGAACGTGGTGGATATTGCTGGCTTGGTGAAAGGTGCTCACGCAGGCCAGGGTTTGGGTAACGCCTTCCTCTCTCACATCAGTGCCTGTGATGCCATCTTTCACATGACACGTAAGTAGATAGCTATTTCAAACCATTTCTGAATATGTTTATTTTTTTAGATTTTATGAACTTCATATCTGCTGTACGTGAAATTTATCTGCTAGTTACAATGTAGTTGGAAAGAGGAATTAAATAGTTCGACAACATGGAAAAAAAAAAACCCTCATGAAATTTCCAAAAAGCCATGAAAACTTCTACAGCAAATGTAAATTGACATTGTGACAGTTATCTGACATGCATCCTCTTTAAATCTTGGATTTAATTCACGCCTGAGAAACCTGATGTTTTGTTCCATGTTTGTATTTTAAATATCTAAATTCAGCCTTTAATGTTATCCCAAAGTTCTCCTAATGTTCATTTATGTATAAACACACAGTTGTAGCCGTATGTATTGACAGCAAACAAACCTGTGTGCTCGTACAAAATCTTTATCTCGTTCACTATTGCCTATATAGTAAATGCCACATTTCAGACATATACATTGCAGCGTGATTTGACAGATCTAGATTATTTTCAAATTTAAATGATGGAGCTGTTTAAACTCGGAATGCCCATTGTGGTGTTGTGCTTTTCAGTTACGTTTTTAGTTTGGACTCTTTTGCTTGTCCAACTAAAATGAAACTGATTTTCAAACGTCATATGTGTTAATTGAATGCTGTGTATAACTTTGAATAACTAACTGTTATATCAAAGCCTGACAGATATGTTGTGTGGCCTCTTAAAGGTATAGTTGACCCAAAAATGAAAAATCGGTCACCATTTACTCATCCTCACGTCATTCCAAACTTGTATGACTTTTATTCTTTTGTGGAACACAGAAGATATTTTTAAGGACTAAACATTTTTGCTAAATATACACTTATGGTTCCCATTGACTTCCATTGTATGAACAAAAAATACAGTATTCTTCAAAATATCTTCTTTCGTGCTCAGCAAAAGAAAGAAATGCATACAGGTTTGTAACAACATGAGAGTGAGTAAATAGTGACAGAGTTTAGATTTTTGGTGCAACTATCCCTTTAACAGGACTGCTTCCAGATTGTGATTGTCAAGAAATCAATTCTCCGGTGTCATCACTCCAGTAAACATGCAAAGCAGTATGGTAGGTATAATGTAGAAATGATTCACTCTAAATAACTGTGTATAATAGTCCAAATTGATGGATGCTTGTGTTTTGTGGCTATCAGCCTCCAGGAAATCTGAGTTTAGGACCGCTTTTTTTGTTTTGTAGGTTGGCGAAGATCAAAGAGTGGGTTGACATTCATGATCCAGGTGCGCTGGTCATCCCGTTCAGTGGGGGATTTGAGAGCAAGTATCAGGATATGACTGATGAAGAGAAACAGAAATATTGTGAGGAGAACAAAACACAGAGGTCAGGATTTGCTCTCCTTCTGTTTCCTCTTTGCTGAATTTAAAAGATTAGTTCATCCAAAAAAGGAAAATTTGCCAGCCAAGATGTAGACGAGTTTGTTTCTTCATTGGATCAGATTTGGAGAAAGGGGAAACTACATCACTTTCTCACCAGTGTCTTCTCTGCAGTGAATGGGTGCCGTCAGAATGAGAGTTCAAACAGCTGATAAAAGCATTGCAATAATGCACAAGTAATCAACTTGACTCCACTCCTTCAATTAACGTCAATTAATCAGCAAAAAGCTTGTGTGGATTGCTGTTATCAGATGCTTTTATCAGCTGTTTAAACTCTCACTTTGACGGCACCCATTCACTCCAGTGGATCCATTGGTGAGCAAGTGATGTAATGCTACATTTCTCCAAATCTGTTCTGATGGAGAATGAATAAATAAACTCAGGTACATCTCGGATACATTTACATTACATTTACATTTAATCATTGAACAGACGCTTTTATCCAAAGAAACTTACATAAAAAGAAAACAAGTAAGTAGAATAGGACAAGAATAGAGAATGCTAGTGTTAGAGGGTCAAGTTTTTTTGGTTTGATTTTTTTGTATTTTCATAAAAAGAAAACAAGTAGATAGAATAGAAATATAATTGAGAGTTCTAGTGTTAGAGAATATTTTTAGTGATAGCCTGCATGTGATTAAATATAAATTTTGGATGAACTATTCCTTTAAGAAATGTAATACTTTTTCACATGCAAAAAGCATTTTTTCAACAGTGCTCTAAATGCTGTAGTCAGTCATACTTCAGGTCATCATGCTTATTCTATAGTGATATCATAATTTTTCCCTTCGTGTTTTTCACGTTGTGAATTTTTAATTCTTTGTTTCAGTGTTCTGACTAAGATCATCAAGAGTGGGTATGCAGCCCTGCAGCTGGAGTACTTCTTCACAGCAGGACCCGACGAAGTCCGTGCATGGACCATCAGGGTGAGCAAAGCACATGTTCAGAAATTCATTTAATACCGATATATTCTGTTGCACCTCTAAAATATTATGCATGTGTTTGAACACCTTACAGAAAGGCACCAAGGCCCCGCAAGCAGCTGGAAAGATCCACACAGACTTTGAAAAAGGCTTCATCATGGCCGAAGTCATGAAGTTTGCAGACTTTAAGGAGGAAGGCAATGAAAACGCAGTTAAAGTAAGATCTTAATGGTGTGCTTGATGACATAAAATAGCGTGGCTTGTTAAAGGTTGAACACTGAACTGATAATGTTGTCAAATACTTGCAGGCTGCAGGGAAATACAGACAACAGGGGCGGAACTACATTGTAGAAGATGGTGACATCATCTTCTTCAAATTCAACACACCTAATCAGCCCAAAAAGAAGTGAAGCCAGTTGGATGGACAGTACTGTCTATGGCACATGCTCAGTCTCTTCATTTATGGCTTTGGAACATTTAAAACACAATCGCACCTTAGTGGTGTATTAAGTACATTTTTTATTTTATTATTTTGGCTGATGGCTGAAATTAATGAAATGGCTGGTCTGCTTACAAAAGCTGCATGTCACACAGCAGTTTATTCTAATAAAACACTTCCTCAGACCAAAGTGTTTTCTGTTGAAGGTTCTTTCCCAATTGTCTAGATGTTTCTAGATGTTTTAGAAACATAAAACATTTCTAGATGTTTTAGTCATTGAGTAATCAAACAGTATGGATGGGATTTATTATGGAAGCTGTTTACGCCACAGGATTTAAAAAATAAATCAATAAAAAGGTAATTGCAAATTTCTATTTCCCAATTCAGGGTTTTTATAAGTTAATATTTTATATTGAAAGACATAAACTTGGCAATCACAAAAATAAGTCAGAATTGTGAGATAAAATGTTGCCATTACTTTATTTTTTTATTCCGTGGCAGCAACACAAAAAAATTAATCACGAGAAAAAGTCTGAATTGTGTGATAAAAAGTTTTTTTTTAAGTACAGGCCTCTATACTTTATGGTATTAAGCTGATGTGAAACAAACATTTATAGAGGTGTAGTTAACAGTTTATAGTGGTTGATTTAAGGTCATTTTTATCCAAAACTAAACAAATAAATTATACAATCTAACTGAAAGCATCCGGGAGAAAAATATTTTGTAGAATTCAATTTTTAGCTTTGATTTGCTGTTTGATTGAACTTTTATGATTTGTACGTCACTGCGTCATGTAAGTACCGCCCCCAATACTCGTGAGAGGGCGTGGCCTTATATTTTGATTGACAGGCGGAATGAATGACCATTTAGAAGCATTGGTCGAAAATGTGCTTTTATATGGTTCCAAAACAAGCAGCATTTGCATTGCTTCCCTCGCAACGCTGAAAGAGCTCAACGCTGGCTGTAGGTGTTGGGCTGACCATCAACTACCGATACCACCGGCTTGTTTGTGTGCAACGAGCATTTTACAAAGGAGAGCTTCCCGAATTATGAGCAGATGAAAATGGGCTTTCTCAAGAATCCTAACCTGCCGTTCAAAAGAGGAAGCGGTGCCGATGGGCTTGATAAGTTTTAACACAAGTGCCCCTGCTTGGCTTTTATGCCTTTACATTTTGCAAGCAAACGCTGAATCAAAGCAAATATGCACGCATTAGAATGCACAAATGCATTGTTCTGTACACAGAATTCAGGTCAGTTGTCTCAGCAATTTAATAAATCAATAAACGAGCCAACCAATGCCTTTTAGTTTTTGAGAATGCGCTAATTTCCCCTAACGTTAGACTTGTCCACTCTATTTTGGACGCAGGTTAATGACGTAAGCGAACGAGCGCCAAAACATTGTACAGGGAGCTTTAGTTCAACACTGCGGACCTGCGGGTGTAACGTACTATTTCCTCAACTCAGTAAGAAACAGACAGCTGGTCCTGTAATTGTATAAGAACAAACATTAAAGCACTAAATCGTTTTACACAAGATCGAAGACACTGATGGCATCCGTGTTTTTATTATATGGGGCACGGTGCGAGGCTTATTTCGTTTAAAACTAACAAGGAGTTTGTTTATTCTGAATTGTAATGGACACGAAGGTATTTTCACGTCAGTACATCTTCATATGAGAGGTGGCGGCCTTTTAGACATCGGCGTTGTTGACAATTAATCGTAAATGTCCACAATGCATTAATACAAAGATACTGCACGGCTTCCCCCGTGACCCTGTCAGAGCTAGACGTAGGCTGCAGGCGGTAGGTTTGCGGTTAAATGTCACGTATGGGAAATATCTGTTAATCTTTTTCTAAAGCTAGACGCACGGGGTGCCAACTTTTATCACAACAGCTCAGAGTTTTACCCAACCTACGGCTTCTGGTAAGTGTTTCTCCTTTTGGTGTATGTTGTCTGCTCAATGTCTCACGCTCTTATTTCCCACCGCGTACCCTCCCATCTCTCCACGCCCATTGATTGAGTCTCGTCAAAGCTTTTGAAGCACTAGTGCTGAGAGAGGCAGGTTTCACGACCCTTACCTGAAATGAAGTCGCCGGGTTCTCTCTTGTTTAGTTTACTTGTTTTGGTGGTTTGTTTTTGACACGCATTCGGTTTCGGTTTGCTGGAAATACTGGTCAAACTACTTTTTTTCTTGACTTTCCGGTCAATTTAGGACCATGAATGTGCATGCAAAGTCTCAACACAGATGTGTTTTAGAAAAGGCTGTACACAGTTTTTTCCACAATGGTTTCCATGCAATTTGCCAAAAACCAACACTGAAAAACAGCGTCAGGTAAAACAACAACAACAAAACACTTTATTGTAGCTTGTCAAAGTCTTTTATGTAAAATTATATGAGAATTTACTAAATTGAAGGCAGACTTAAGAATCATCTATGGAGAATTCTATGGAGAACTATGGAGAAATCTATTTGAGTTTAAAAGTCAGAAAATGTTTTTGGTTGTTAGTTTATTGAAACTCAATTAATAGTCTGTTGCAGCACTTAAAAGCTTATAACCTCACAAGTGTTTAAGATCCAGACAACAAAATAGTTATGTACAAATAAATAGCAATAAATTCTATTTACACTAAGTATACAAATTCTAGATACTATTTAAAGTTTTCCTTGGTGTTTCAATAGTCACTACAAGTAATCATAACAAAAAAACATAAAAGAAGTGTTTTTATTTTGTGTCTATGCAGCTAATTCTGAACGTAAAAATATGTTGGTCAAGTTGACTTCTTTTTAACACATTTTTGTAATAATAAAAATGTATAATAAAGATTTCTGTCTTTTACATGAATCTTTAGTGTATTTCATAGTGTTAATTTTTGGTGAATTGCATGGAAATCAATGAGGGTCAGTTTGACCCCTAACAATTTTATGAACACAGCAGGAGAGCAAAGCTATAAAAGTATTTTCCACACCACTTTTTGAATTTAAAATATGACCTAAAATATTTGTGCATTAAATATGCAGATAAAGAATGAGCAGTCTCTTTATTTATTTTGTTAATTGTATCAAGAGCTTACAAAACACATTTGCTTTCAAACAGCCGGCGCCTGATGCGTCTTCTTCTTCTTGCTTTACGGCGGATCACAGACTTATAAGTGCATTACTGCCACCTATCTCTCAACTGGACCATTGACACTCTATCTACAATCTCAATTAGGAGTGTCAATGGTCCATTTGAGAGATAAGTGTCGGTAATGCACTTAAAAGTCTGCAATCACGCGCCGGCTGTTGAGAACGTGCTCAGGACAGTTCGGACATTGCGGTGAATCAGAAGTAAAAAACTATATAAATACTGTTCAGTTTCTTGCACAGACCTGGGGGTAAGCAGATAAACATCAAATTTTCATTTTTGGGTGAACTAGCCCTTTAACGTCAGTGTGAATTGGCTTTTCTTGTTTTTTTTTTTCTTTAGGTAACGCTTTAATTGGAAAAAAGGATTACTCGAGCAACAAAACGATAGAGATGCCTCCGAGGATAGCAAGACGCTGTGCAGTGCCAAGCTGTGGGAAAACACAGTCTTTGCATTGCCTTCCTTGTGATCCTAACATTAGGAAAGAGTGGATGAATTTTATTTTGGATGCAGTTCCAGATCACGTAAATAAGACACTGTTTATTTGTTCGCTTCATTTTACTGCGGATTCATTTTCAAACAAGTCACAGTTTGATGCAGGCTTTTCAGAGAGACTGAAAATTAAAAATGATGCAGTGCCATCCATATTGGATCCGACAGTAATGTCGCAACACACAAGTGTGAGTAACAATGTTTTTACCATTTGTCACTATTGCTTTTTGTTTGATATGTACTTATAATTTATTTTATTACGTTTTTAACCAAAATGACCTATATTGTTTTATTTATTCACTCTAAACTGTTACCCAATCATAGCAGTGGGCACTTCCAAGTCTTGAATGCAGCAGTCCTCCCAAAACAGTGTTTCAAAGAGTGGGTCAAAAACAGGATCGATAATGGCATATTACTTCTAAATTATGATCAAATTAGGGCTGTTTTTTGTATTGATTGAGATATAGTTTTTTTTTTTTTCCTTTTATAAAGAATATCTCGTTGGATTTGAGACTTTACTCTTTGCAACTTTACAGATCTTCTTTATGCACCAAGAGCTTGTAACACTCCAAAGAGAAAGGAAAAATTGAAATCGCATCATATGACCCCTTTAAATAGAACCTGTCTGACAAAGTGAAGCATGCTTAAAGAATAACACATCATGCCGCAATCTAAAGAAATTCAAGAACAGATAAGAAACAAAATACTTGACATGTATCAGTCTGGAAAGGGTTATAAAGCTATTTCTAAGGCTTTGGGACTCCAGCGAACCACGGTCAGAGCCATTATGATCTTTAAAAAAGCATCATATGACCCCTTTAAAGGACAAATTGTGCCCATAAGTGGCTACTTACTCTGTATATTATACTGTTAAGTTTATTTGTCTTATGGTTTTGATATTATACATGTTAAAATTAATCTATCTCTGTACTGTCAGCCCAAGACAAGTCGTGAAATGGGATGCCAGACGGAGGAGCCCAACACCAGAGACGGAGAATGCCAAACCATCCAAGACTTGAAGCAGCGTGGCTGGAAAGTAGAACCAAAGATTGAAAGTGTGTTTTATTGTTTTCTACTTCATTAACTTTTTAGTTGCTTTTACATATACTGACATTGAGGGTGTTTTAATTCTTATTGTGATATGTTAGGTAGGTAGATCTGGATGTGACTGGAATACAGAGACTTGTGGTAGCAGTTTTTTTTTTAAAAATTTTTTAACATAAATGCACCAAACTAGTAACTTTTTTTAAAGTGGCTAGTATTAGTTTATTATTAGTGGGGAAGTCGTGGCCTAATGGTTAGGGAGTCGGACTCGTAACCCAAAGGTTGTGGGGGGAGTGAATGTACAGCGCTCTCTCCCTCCTTCAATACCATGACTGAGGTACCGAACCCCAACTGCTCCCCGGGCACAGCAGCAAAAAATGGCTGCCCACTGCTCTGGGTGTGTGTTCACTGCTGTGTGTGTGCACTTTGGATGGGATAAATGCAGAGCACTAATTCCGAGTATGGGTCACCATACTTGGCCACGTCACTTCACTTATTAATGTTCTGTATATTATTTTATTGGTAACAATAATTGTAACTATGCAATTCTGTGTGGATCTGTTTGTTTCTGACTAGTAACTAGTATTATTACTTTTTACTTTAGGCTTGTATATATATTACATAGTTATGAGCCATAGAGGGTTTTAAAGTAAATTCATTTATTGTATATAAACTTAAATGTAGAAACTTGATTTAGGTTATTCTTGCTGGACAGGGGGCACCCGGTGGAAGAGGTTGAAAAAGACTTCAGTTGTTAAAAACTCTAAAACATTGTTGAGAGAAAACTTTGAGGAAGAATTGCTCAGACTTGGCGGTATTATCGAATTGTTCAAAACAGCCATATGAAATGTAATTGTGTTGTTAATGCGTACAGGACATAGATGAGCTGTATGAGGCGGTAGAGTATTATGATACAGTTGGCCCCTAAGGACATCCGGAGTCACAGCTGTTTCCTCAAAGCACTGTTTACCCAGGTGGTTAAACCGACACGTAAACTCGGGCAAGCGATACCTAGCAGGGCTGCACTGTGGATCAAAACGAAACTAGTTAATTTACATACATAGCAAACGTCTTAATCTAATCTTTCAAATTGTTTAAAAAATTAAATATATTTTGTGAAACCTTTTAATTTGAACGTACAACAATGTTGTGACATTGTACACCTTGTACTAAATGTTTCTCAATACGTCTAGTAGTGTAATGGCCACCAGAGTTGCAACTAACTTCCTGCCATACGTGAACAATTCCAGCTAGATTTCCAAAGACTCTCTCCGCATCTGCGAAGCGAACAACAAACAGGAAACGCTCTTGCCATGAAATTGACAGACGTACGGCTTTGACCACTCCGCGTCCAGGGGGTCGAATCACGCAGCCAATCACGTCGTAGAAGAAAGGCGGGTCTTCCGTTTACGTGACGCAAATTTTACTAGTAATCTCCGAAGCCCCACCTTTTGTTTTTCCCGCACCGTCAATCAAAAATAAGAAAAAAATCGACCCGAATCTCCGATCACAGCCCGCCTTTGATTAAAACAATCATGTTGGGAGTTTAAATGAACAGATAAACCTCCGATTTTTTTACCTTTTCACGCTATGACTGGTACGTAACACTTAGCCCGATCGAAGCACAGCACCGCCGGTGAGTTTGGAGAGCCATTAGCAAAGCGAGCTAGGTCAGTGTTTAATCTTTCTCAGCAGCGACGCTAACCGTTAGCCAGCTAGCCTCACTTTAACAAAGTAAACATTCGAAAAGATTGTTGCTCAGGCAATGCGAAAGCAGAAAGAACCGCCTGATGCGTTTAAATTCCAGGCGGTTTGGCGGCTAATCTCCGCCTTTTCGAGGTGGGAGTTCGTTGAGCATGAATTTGTTTTGAGTTTTTTCTCTCGCTGTGTCTCCGTAGCCCCAGAACAGCCAGCGAAACAGCAGGAAATGGCTGCCTTGGACGTGGACAGCAGTCAGAGCGACTTTCTGCAGCCGGCCAGCGGCGCCCAGGACCAGGTATGGAATCCCTCTGTTGGTTTGTCGCATCCCCGGCGCTGTCTTGCGGGGTGTTGTGGTGTTTTGGTGAAGTTCACACGTTTTAAAAATAGGGGGAAAGTCGAACACTTCCTGTGAGCCTTCGCTTTGTACGGCCACCCACTTTCTTACCCTTTTAAACCCGCCCATTGTGGGTCGGACAGACTCGCCACCGTCGCCTTGCCCGCTTTACCTGCGGTGATCCCGGGTCACCCCCACGATAGGGGAGGACCCCTCCACCGGGAGAAGCCTCCACCCCTGCCCAGGCTGTCACATATCCTCCACAGCTCCACCATTCCCCCTGGAGCGGTTGCGTGCACAGACCAGGCAAACAGAAGCTCTTTGTCACCTTTTGTCATTTGCTCTTGTCTTTTGAAGTAATATAGATAATTTATTTTGCCTTTTCTGGGAGACGCACAGTCGTTGAAAGACGTTAATGTTCGCTATTAAAAAGACAACTGAACTAAAGTCCTGAATGACAGCTCTTAAGATTAAAGTCGGCATGAAATTAAAATTCCCCCATCTGTTTTTAAAATTCGTGTTGTTAGATCCCACTGTGAACAATTAATACGTGCATGTGTTTAATTTATAAATTATAAGTTTATTGTTTTGCATAAGTTTAATGCTTTGACCTTGTACTGTCTAATCAACTTGTCATAACTGAATATTCTGGTGAAAGCATCAGACTTCTCTGTGGTGTCCAGTGCAGGTCTTCCCCAAAACCCACCCCTGCAAGCTCTCCTTCATCTGCCTCTTTTTTTTTTTTAAGTGCAAAACCCAACTAAAAAACAATAGATAGAACCAAGTCCCTGTCCTTTCATTTTTCCTATTTCGATAATATACTACACTCAGATGTATGTTACATTACAAAAGAAAAGATCTGTTGCTACTTCTGTTTCACCATGACTTTAAGTACTGTGTTTAACATGCTATAATTATTAGTTAAAAATGTTATCCTTATTGAGGTCTGATGCTTGCTCGGATTAATTTTTGGGCATTAATATTTTATATCGACATTATGACATTAAAGCTTATTACAATTATACCTTAATGCATAATTTTCTATTCCATAGTGACTTGAATTTTGTAAAAAAAAAAATTTATCTTTGTTCAGGCCTGTTGACACCAAGGACAATAATAATAATAATTTTTCTGTGAGAATAGGGAAGTTTACACCACAGCTATAATGTTAACGACACAATATCGAGGAACAATATAATTTGATTCACTTTCAGAATGATTTTTTTTACAGCTGATGAACTATAAAGACATTGACAGACAATCAGAATCCACTGGACTTGAAGCAGATAAGCTAACTGCAGCACAGGTTGCTTATAAACAGTATGTTATTGTCCATTGGTGTGAACGCTTAATGTAGTTATCGTTTTTGGCGTGAACAGGCCTTTAGACTAATTGTTGTGTGTGTATGGTACAATTTGTCATGAAGCACTTGTACTAATATATTAGTAATATCTCCACCTCACAGCAGACCACAGGCCTCACGGCCATCCAGTTGACGGGCTCCTCTGATCGCTGGGAGGTTCTAACGCCTGTGAGCTCAGTGAAAGACGAGCCAGCAGTAGTGCAGGTACCCAGCGGAGGACTTCTGGGCAGCAACGGGCAATATGTGGTGCCACTACAGACTATGGCAGGGCAGACCCAGCCCGTTTTTGTGACTGCGGGTGTGGATGGCACCGGTGCCAATGGGGTGCAGTATCAGGTCATCCCTCAGCTGCAGGGGACGGATGGGACTTCACTAAGCTATGCAGCACCCACTGCAGATGGAAGCACGCTGGGTACTGACATTACTATCCTTCCGGATGGGACGCAGGGCATTGCTACAGCCACCAATGCTAATGACCTCCAGGGCCTGCTGAGTCAAAGTGGGCACGTGCAGCAGATTCCCACTGTCTCACTGGCCGGCTCAGGGTTTGGCGCACAGGGCCAGGTTGTCGCTAATGTACCGGTGGGGCTGCCGGGCAACATCACGTTAGTGCCAATAAATAGCTTGAGTAACGTGGATCTCGAGTCTTTGGGGTTGGCTGGTGCTCAGACCATAGCGACAAGCATTACTGCGGATGGCCAGCTCATCATGACTGGTCCCACCACCTCAACAAGCGATAACCAGGGTGACAGCAAATGCACAGAGCCACTTAACGCCAACAACGCTAATGCCTTTGTGCCAACCACCACCTCTTCCATGACGATGTCGCTCCCCGAGACGATAGATGGGACTGGCGTTCTCACCCAAGCCACTGCTTTATCAGCCGGGCAGCAGGATCTATCTTACATCCAGCAGAACCACACGGCTGGCGGTGAACAGGTGGTGCAGCTCTTACCAGCGCAGACGGTGGATGGAGCGGCGCAGACACTACAAAGCGTGCAGCTGTTGAATGCTGGTACGTTTCTGATCCAAGCCCAAACTGTCTCTCCCACCGGCCAGATCCAGTGGCAGACCTTCCAAGTTCAAGGGGTTCAAAACCTGCAGAATCTACAGCTGCCGGCTGCTAGTGGGGTCTCATCCCCCCAAATTACCCTTGCCCCTGTGCAGACCCTTTCTCTTGGGCAGACTGGCACCACAGGCGCGTTGGGACAGATCCCGAACCTTCAGACAGTCACAGTCAATTCTGTTGGTCAGTACCAGCAAGACGAGAACACGGAAAGCCACTCAGGTATGCAGAAACATACTTTATATTTACAAAGATACTTAAAAATAAGTAGTTAATTAGTTAAATCAAAAAAAAAAAAAAAGTTAATAGAAATACAAGTGTAATATTTGAATGTTATAAATATTTATGCTCATCTTAAAAGAAAAAAAGAGCTTTTTGTGAGTGCAACCGTTTTTATGAAACTTTAAATTCTTTATATAGTTAATGACTTGAAGTCATGGAAATTCATTGGTTGAAGGTGTGGGAAGCCTGTTTGAATGAAATAGCTAAATTCATTAAATTAGTCCTAAATACTTTTTTAAATATATTGTGTAGCTGTTTTATTTTGGGAACTTTCTTGATTGTCTTAATCTGTTTTAAATGATTCTCCCCTTTCTGTTTGTGCAGATATTCAAATTAAAGAGGAGCCAGAGTCTGATGATTGGCCAAATTCCACCCTGAACACCAATGATTTGTCACATCTGCATGTGCGGTTGGTTGAGGAGGATAAGGAGGGGACCGGCCTAGAAGGAAAGAGACTACGTAGAGTAGCCTGCACTTGCCCCAACTGCAAAGAGGCTGGAGGAAGGTAATGTATATGTTGATGCAGAGGCTCAAATCCTGTTCTAACAGCTGAATAATTATTTTTTTGTAACACTTTTGTATAATTTCAGAGGTTCAAGTATGGGAAAGAAGAAACAACACATTTGTCATATCCCAGGGTGCGGTAAGGTGTATGGTAAGACGTCTCACCTTCGAGCTCACCTGCGCTGGCATTCAGGAGAGAGACCCTTCATTTGCTCGTGGAGTTACTGTGGCAAGAGATTCACCCGCAGCGACGAACTCCAGCGTCACCGCAGAACACACACAGGTATGGGCACACTGGAAGAGATCAGGATCTAGAATTACATCATATTTCATTTGGACCCATTATACATGAGGATCTAACACTGTCAATTTTGTTTGCTTCTCTAGTTCCAGTAGTTCTATATTGAATGTTGTTTTACACTTATTTTTGTTTTTCAGGAGAGAAGAAGTTTGTGTGCCCAGAGTGCTCGAAACGTTTTATGCGCAGCGACCATTTGGCCAAACACATTAAAACTCACCAGAACAAAAAAGGGCTAAACTCCAACACTGGGGCAGGTCACACAGAAACTGCTGCCCCCTCGGACACCATCATCACAGGGGGTGGAGCCACTCTCATCCTCACCAATCTGCAGCAGGCTGGCACCCAGGACCTTCTTTCAAACTCCAACCTCCCGCTCCAGTTGGTCACTGTCTCTGCCAGCGAGGTCATGGAGTGACCAAAATCATGCCCACTTTCACAGCTCGTCTGCTTTTCACTATCAATTTTTATATATATGATAAAAAAAAAAAATATATATATATATATATTATAAATATATATATTTTAAAAATGACATCCATTTATGTTCAATAGCAGTCTTTTGTACAAACAAGGCAAAAAATGACATTAAATGTGGTTCCAGTTTCTGCTGAGACACACACACACACGTATGCATCTACATGCTCATATTAACTCGCGCTCATACACAAGTACATACACGGAAATGCCTTATTTTGTATCATAATCTGTAGTATAAAATGCTGGAGTTGCATGTGTTTTTACTTTTGCTCATGTATATGTTCAGGGGATGATCATTAGAGAGTGTGACTGTGTAATGGATGTTATGGTACACGGAAAGCCAGGATGTGTGTGTGAGAATGATTACAGTGAGACTGTTCTGTGAGAATGACAGCAGGAGAAGGACACTGTCTGCTGTGAGGGAGATTTACTCATGATCTGTCCAATTTTATCCTCCTCCCTCTCAGCTGGCCTTTGTCTAAATGTGTCTTCACTCTTGCTTTTATTTTTATTTGATGTCATGTTAGTGGTCTTTGCGCTCTTGGTCACATGTCCTCTGGATCTTGTTCGAGGATCTTCTGATTTCATTGTTCTGCTGCCCACATGCAACTTGAACAAGACATCAGGCGGCAGAGTAAAACAATCGTGTAATAAACTTCCTTTTTCTTGTATCGTTGCTCTTATTGCTCTCCAGATTATCCTTGTAACATTCATAATGTATCTTCCTTTTCTTTTTGTTTTCTTCAGCCCCAAGCTGTTTATAGCCACAATTTATGTAGTTGAATACTGATTCTGTTGTATCAAAGACTCCTCGTTTTGATTACTTTTTAAACGTGTAAAATTTGATGTTACTTTTGTACAATTTTTTTTTTTCTTTTTTTTTTTTTCTTTTTTCAAATGCAACACAATTAAAGTCGGAAACCTTCCTATGACTCTTCATAACTAAAAGTTTGTTTCTAAATGCTTCAAATTTCTGGTGTTGGTATGTGTATGAACTGAATGTGAAAATTAAACCTATGCCCACATAAATACCTCAAAATACTGGCTATTAAAAATAGCATACTGCCATACAACTATTCCCATTGTTTATAGTATGTATACTGTGCACAGTATGTGGATGACAGAATGCCTGGATGCCTTACTTTGCAGAAACTTCAATGCACACTGTGCTGGGTATATTCATTGTTTCCCACAATGCAATGTGTTCATCTTAATCTTACATTTAAAGTCTGATAAAAATCCCAGAAGTAATTTTTTGTTACATTTCTACATGGCTGGACACATTTTTATGAAATTAACGAGTAAATGCAAACGAATTGTTTTTATTTCTGAGATACCTGGACCCCATTCACCGAATTAAACATTGATGAAGCATACAGCTGTTTGAAGCATTTGTCATTGCGTATACAGTATATACTGTGTGGTATTATATAATACGCTAGGCTGTTTGGAATGGAATTCTACTAGCTTACTCTGCTGAATACTGCCTACTACTTTTAGTAAGTGAACCAGAAGGCATTATGGAACAAAATGGTTAACTTTGTTCTTGTCATCTGACCTTATGTTGCAAGTTTCAGTCAGCAAATCCAGTTACCTTTATAGAAATAAAATTATATATTTTGTGTAAAATATAGTATCTTTTCATTTGAATAAAATTAAAGGGTTAACATACATTTGTTAATACAATTTTGATATTACATCAGGTTCCTTCAAAACTGGAAATGGAAGGTCAAGTAATTTACATTGCATTATGGGATGTAGTGTAGTGCACAGTGTTTTCAGTTGTATTGTGCACATTTTGGAAAATGTAAGAAAGTTAACATCCTGTGCACTATCCGTACTTTATACTTAAGGAATAGTGAGAACTGGTAAAATAGAATGGAATTAGTAAAATTTCAAATATCCATGTCATTAACCGGGCCTTTTGTGTCATATTTGATACACAAATTTCTAAGGCCTCTAACTGAAAAACCTGTTGTACACAATCTTCTGTATGCCTTTTGTCATCTAATTGAAAGTTTATACTTTTTGCAAATGAAAATTATAAATTCTAAAATAGTCCTCTTTCAGGTCGTGGTACACGTGCCCTTTTGCTGTGAAATTTTTACTAATTTTTGTGAATGTAAGTAACTTACATTGTTAGTAATATTTCATGATGAATACTTTTTGGACAGCAACTTGATTATCCATCAATGATATATAAAAAAATAAAATCATGGTAAAATGTTAGTGTCATATAGATCATCACTCTTAATCGTCACTGTATTACATTGTATTATATGTTTTACCCCACAAATAAAAACTACAGAGCTTTGATTATAAAACTAAGTATCGAAATATTATCTTTCTATTACACTATTATTAGGCTACTATATTATACTTACCGGGATACTGGGTGAAAATTGATATTCATATTTTATGGCAGTAATCTGCTATAGGCTATTGTTATAAGGAGCTTGTCGATTTACATTACAAGCTATCAAAATGTCATACTTTCTGGCCATATAAAAATTTACGGCAACTGCATGCAATTAGCGACATATTTTTGTTTATTGTGGGCCTCTGAATAAAACAGGTGTTTTATTCCTCCTCGAGTGTGGGCTTCTATATGATGTTTAGCCATAAAAGCACATATTTTTCAATATTTTTTTAGATAAATTATTCTATTAAAATAAATATTTCATATGTCAGGCTTCACAGGGTTAAAACTGAACATCTTTGATGTTATGAAGATGTGGGATTATATGATTTACTGCCACCTATTGACTGGACTAAAGTCTCATTGTTCATTTAAAAACCACTATGGGCATAAACTTTGGCATCAATAGAGGGCAGTGTCCTTCTCTTAAAGATGTGAGTTTGAGGGTCACAGTCTACTGTAGTTTTAAGTTACTATTATTTTAATTTCTCTTCTGAATGTGCTTCAGTGTAAATAGATTTTTTAAATACATGTGTATTACATGAAGGATGGTGCATCAGATCATCTTAAAGGGGTCATCTGATGCAAAATTCACTTTTGTTGTTGTTTGAACATAAATGTGTGTTGGAAGTGTGTGTACACATCCACCCTATAATGATACAAATCCAGCTGTCCGCCATTGTGTGGACTCCAGGTCGACTCCGGTGCAGGGGAAGATTTAAGAATGTCTCTCAGATTAAGCGTTTGAGGTGTTCTGTTGCTGGATGTAACAATGAATATAGCAGTCGTCATTTACTCCCGACATCTGAGCAGCTATAGATGCAGAGGATTAACCTTACTTTCGTTTTTGAAGGGAATGCGCCAATCCCCGATCTGCCTAAATGCATTAATGTTCGAGCAAATCATTCGTGATCCAGCTTCATCTACAGAAGAAGTGAGTATAAGCGTTTTTTATGAATCTCTGCAAATCGCCTGTCCTAATATGCACTAGTTAGCAAGTTTCACGGCTGAAGTTTACAGTCTGCTCGTCACCCCACGGAAGAGAGGGGCGGGGTCAGCAGAGCTCATTAGCATTTAAAGCAACATGAAAACGGAGCTGATTTGACAGTGTAAAAAGGGTGTTTTTTACTGTACCATTGAGAAATTTTAACCAATGTTACAGACTTTTCATTAAGACCCTAAAGAATAAGATAAACTTGTGGAAAATGGGCATACGATGACCCCTTTAAAATGTGTGAGTATCAGGTTATACAGTGTCTATGTGCCTGATACTCTTGCTGGCTTTTCCAATGCACACTCAGGTTTCATTAGCACCAGGTGTGTGCTTCTCTCACACAACGTGGGTACAGATACACAAAAGCCATTGACCCTGTTGCCATAGGGACCTGCCTCTACAGGAGTTCAGTTTCTCTCCCCCACTGGAGAAGGCAAAGAACGACCCAGCAGATGGGATCACATAAAGCCATCGTATCATTTAATAATGGAAAGATAAAGATACTGATGAAAAAAAATACAGTAGGCTCAGAAACTTGGTAGAAGGTAAGAGGTTTGATACCATAATATGTTTTGGTAAATGGACAATTTACCACTGGACTGTATGGCTTGAGTTGTTTTCCTCCTCCTTTCTGTTTCTCAGCATGGCTGAGGCCGGTGTGCGAGTTCCTATGGAGCAGGTGAAGATGAGTGCCATCTCTGATGAACGTGTGGACTTCCTCAGGGAACATGCCTTCACCATTCTACGACTCAAAACTGACAAATGGAACCGTTTTATTGGATTGGAGGAGAACCAGAGGGCTTTGCTTGATTTCTTTGATCAGGGCTGGCGAGAGTATCTCATTTTGTTCGTGGGACCAGGAGGAACTCTTCATGCAGGAGATGAACAGGTGAGAATATCAAATATACTCATACACACTCATCTTCAATGTTCTGACTAACAGAAAATTCAGTCTCCCTCACTTTGTTCTCAGTGTGGCATTAGGATGCCGTGTAGCATTTCTTCTGCAATTGTCTCTCAGTTTCAATGCACTGATTGGCTTTTGGTTTTCGAAATAAGTCATCACTTGTTTCGAGTGCTTTCACTTCTGAAAGCACTACGCCCGTCTTTTCCTCCCCAAAGAGCTCCTCTTCCTGGTGGACCAAGCTTCTGTGTGTCTTTAAAAAAAAGAAGGGCGTCATCTCCAAAACCACCTTTAGGACCCAGCTCTGGCTCGGAGAGGTTGCGGCACAACCCATGGACCACGCTCCTGTGCTCATCTCTCAGGTAAACACAACTAAAAAGGTTAGCTAGTATCACAACTAGGCAGGTTAGCTTATACATTGTAATATATTATAAAATTATATTTGAATTTTAATGCCTGACTTATTTATAAGGCACACTAAGTGATACTAGCAGAATTTTACATCTCCTTATCTATTTAAAAGTAGCCTATATAGACCGTATATATAAAGGATGAAATAATGTAGCACTTTAGCGTTAGACTAAGGGTTGTTTCAGATTGGTCTTTTAGGAGCTTTTAGAACAGAATGGGAAATTATTATATTATATTATATTATATTATATTATATTATATTATATTATATTATATTATATTCATTTAATTTCATTTATAATGTCTGATTTATTGCAAGGCACACCAAGTGATACTAGCAAAATTTACATATCAGAATTTACTTACCTATTTAAAAAGTATATATAAGTTTACGGAAAGATGAAATAAAGTAGCGCTTTAGAGTTAGTTTAGGGTTGGCTCAAGTTTAACTTAGTAGCTATAGAACTGTCTGTTAAATGTTTGATTAGTACTTACCTAACATTACTGGTCTTTGGGCAATATTACTTGGAGGCATTGTTATTTTAGTATTATTTATATTCTATTATGATATTTATAAATTTTTCCAATAAGCTTTCATTTATATTTTCATTATTAAGTTTCAGTTTTCATCTTATTACTTTTTAGTAATTTTATGTGCTTTTGTCATTTTGTATTTTTTATATTTCTATTTAACTTAATTTTTTCCATTTTAATTTGAGTAATTTTAGTACTTCATCTTAAACTTATTTTATTGCAGTTAGTTGCCAAGCAACATTTCTAAGGTTCATTTTTCAAGTGTATTTTTTTACACTTAAGATTTTAAGGCTATTTATTTCAGCCTAATTTCAATTAACAAAAATTATTTGTAATAGTTTTGCTTAATAAAAACAACATTGAAGATAGGCCACCCTATACAAAATGGAAAAA